AGAGGCAGCGGCACCCCCGCCGGCCCCACGCCGGCTGCACCACCCCGGGGGACAACAGGACTTGAGCCTGCCCCACGGCACCTCACCCCATCCACAGCACTCGCCAGCCCGGGGGCTCACAGCTAAAACCAGCAGAAGTTTATAGGCAAGCCTCACTAGGACTGTCCTTATAAAACCCTTCCCTTGACTTCATCATGTTCCACATACAATACTCAGGCTGTTCTCATATGCCTAAGGAGACCATGAAGGTGACAGGAGAGGTGTGAGGTTTGTGAGAACGAGAAGGGGACAGTCTTGGCCTCAAAAATGAGAGGAAACCTGCTGTCGTTTTGTGAGGAATACACAAAATAGCGTGTCCCCGCCATAGCCTTAACCAATGCCATCTGCCGCCCACAGAAAATGCCCCTACGCTGAGGGATCTGGCTCTCTCCCAGCCGCAGTGTAATCCCCCTGTAATGGCACTGTCACCTTCTATTTCTCCGAGTTATCGCATCGATAAGAGTAGATAGAGAGTCAATGTGTTTTCAGATATGAAAGTAAACCCCACATAACTCTCTGGGTGTTAACTTTAATGATCAAACTCATAGCTATAGATCAGCACTGACATTAAAGTAATGCTCCAGCCTACAAAAGGATGGCAGAATTACCTATGCTTTTCTCTTGCCCCTGGAGTCTTTACTCGCAATTGAAACGAATTTCATTAGGAACTAGAGAACATTTGCCTGAACTGCTGTTGCCTCTCCAGTTCACCCAGAAATTTTACAAATCAAGGGAAGGACCTACTCTCTATTTTCTTATTTTGAAACACAAAGAGTAGGAATGTGAGTTGTTTCTACCAGTCAAATAAACAAGGGGGTTTTTTTTCTGATTTTTGAAAGTTAAACACACGGTTATATCCTGTTTGCTTTCTTCAGTAGGTTTTTTACAGAAAGACAGAGAAGGCAGTGCACTGACTCTTCCTCTCCCAGCTGCACCCCACGATGTGGTCCCACCACCCCAAGTCCTGCCAAAGGACTCACTGCCCTCTCATCGTGGCGTCCGTGTCTTCTCGGAGGGAACACTGTCCTGGGAACGTTTTCACATTCCCAACCACACAGAGAATAAACCAGCAGGCCCTGAATGTGCCCTGACATTAAAATGTAACTTATTATTTCCTCTCCAAAAACCGGGCCACTTTGGTAAGCCAGCTCGTGGATCCCGTTGTGTTAGCTAGGCTCCCAAAGCTGATACCAGGGTAAGAGATACTGGTACAGGTTTCAGCAAAGACATTTCCTGCAGAAATTATAAGACTGGAGGGAAGCAACAGGATGATCTTGTGACAACCTGAAAGCTCATGTGCCTAAATTAACGAAAGGCAATTACGGAACGGGTTACAGAAAAGCAGCCTGTCATCACCAGAAGCTACTTCTGGAGCTTCAGTGAAAAAGGTCAAAATACAAGGGAAAACAACTGGGAACCAGAATCAAAATGCTACAATACAGCAAAGAGTTTCCAATCTACTGATTTTTGGTAGCTGTTTTGTGATTTTGTCACCAGGGCAAAAGAAGTACTCTTCACTGCCAGCTGAAAATGGCAACCCAGTGCCATTCCAGTGCCTCCCCTCTCCGTACAGGTACCCTGTCCTCCTCCAGAGCCGGCAGCCGGCCACCCTCACCCCACTGCATCTCTCACCCCTCAGCTGGGGCAGCTCTTTACGTGAGTGCAGCAACAGAAACGAAGGGTGGGAAAAAAAGCCGAGATGGTGGATTAGAAAAGAACTCGAAAAGCAGTGTTTTGTGGAGGAGGAAAGAAAATATTAACAAAAGCCTAATGAACCCCCTCCTCAAGTATGTTCAAGATCATCCTTCACTAATAACATACTTTTTGTAGGAAAACTCTTACCACCTATGCTCAGCACACTGAGTTTTACCCAAATGTATGCAATGGGTGAATGATCAGCAAGTCTCTGACACCTGTATTTATGTCTGCAGGATCCCTATTCAGAATTTGACACTGAGATGAACACAGTGGAAATGAGATTCGCTAATAAATATGGCAAAAAAAGACACAGGACATAAGGGCATGAGCCAGAACGAGTTTGTCATTCTCATTTTTCAGTACACGCACTCTAGCTCCCAGCTATTGTGTTAAAAAACAGACAGACATGGATTTTCTCATCGATCACAGTAACAAAGAGAACTACCTTCCCTCATTAAGAGTCCACAGAGGAGACGGCACTGCGTGTTTGTCTGAAGAAAGAGTTTTAAGGAAGAGTCTATTGTCACATACTTGCAAAATGCGGTCTCCTTCACGGATCCGTCCGTCTCTGGCAGCAATGCTGTTCGGATCAACCTGCACAGGACAATATCCAGTAACGGAACATGGAAAGATTTTTACTGGAAATGAGAACAGCTGCACAATTGCACAATTTGAAAAAGTACCATTTTTACTCTGTACAGAGGCAATCTGAAGTTTCATTTAGAGTCATAAGAACTCAACAGTTCTTTAAATAATCATATAAGCTTGTTTCAGACAAAAGTCTAAAGACAGAAAGGGTTGGGAGCATACGATTTTCAGACTAATACTTTCCCATGCCACCATCAGGCATTAACCTTCTGCTGTCAGAGCACTAAGAATCAATGACAGAGTCCCTCTTCTCTGGAACTTCACTATGGTCTGAAGTGGTTCTGCAATAGTTGATACCTCTATACAAATGGGCCTGTCTTTGGGAAAAGAGGAGGTTTAATTTTCTTTCACAGAAACATTTACTATTAAATGATTATCTCAGTTACCAATCCATTATTTCCTCTGGAATTCTGCAGCTCGCAAGGAAACAGCAAAAAATCTCAAAGATCTATATTGTATAGATCACTTATAGGTACTGTGTATCGTTCCTGCTCTGAGCCATTTAATTTTAAGTCAGTTTAACCTAAATAGATATTTAGGGCTCCATTAACAGTTTATCAAAGTCACTACAGCTCATCCCTGAGCAATGACCTACTGTTCATCGCAGGACAATTCAATCTATCACCTTTCACTTGATGGTTATCTTAAATCATGTATTTTGCCTCGTGATGCCATAAGCTATTTTTTCAAACCAAACATTTGTGTTCAGCATTTGTTTGCAGGTTACATCCTCTACAGCTGTTAGGCATTATTTTCTTCTTGTGCATTGTCATAGGAAAAAAATGATTCTCAAGTGCTTAATCAAGTACGAAAGACAATATAATTACATTCACTTTAAAAGGTCTGAGAAATTTGTACCATGTGGGAAAATCAGCACATTTCAGATATAATTCTGCAGTGTATTAAGAGATTCCTGCACTTTCTTTGTCCTCACAATGTCAAACAGACTTTAAGAGCAGCGCTTATACAACTGGCGGAAGACTTGTTCTTGGGTAGCTTTATATTAATTCCTCATTCTTGTTCCAAGGTTGTGCTTTTCAGTTTCTTTGACATTGTTGCTGGCCTGCAAATGTGCAATCTTGCCTTCATCCCCGTTCACTGATACACAGAATTCTAATAACCTTCTCTGTCCGTGAGCTTCACTCAGAATTTAGAATCGCAGAATATCTCAAGTTGGAAGGGACTCATAAGGGTCATCAGGTCCAATTCCCCGCTCCTTGCAGGACCACCTAACACTAAACCATATGACCAAGAGCATCGTCCAGATGCTCCTTGAACTCTGAGAGCTTGGTGGTGCAACCGTTGCCCTGGGGAGCCTGTTCCAGGGACCGACCACCCTCTCCATGAAGGACCTTATCCTAATGTCCAAATTTGGTTCAACTTGTCACAAAAGCAACAAATTGGGAACACAGTTCATGCAGGAGAATCACCAGTGAGCTTGGACTCACAAGAGTTCTGCTTTATCCAGAAAAACAACCCTCTTTGAATGACTGGAGACTAGTGTTCCTGGAACTCTTGTGGACTGACCCTCTGAAAAACTAACACACTAATACGTGCTGGATGCCATCTTTTCCTGGTGAAGTCAATGAAAATCTGAGGGTTCATCCCATCTCAGTATCCAGTATTCTATTTTTTTGTCTGACAAAAAGAAAAATATTAGTCTTTCTGATATATTCCTCTCCCAGGCTACTCCCTCCACCCACCTGTGGTACATCTGTGTGTACCACAACTGTAACAAAACCACAAATAATAAAATAATGACTACCCACAATTATGATTACTGAGGCTGTGGCAGGGGGAGAATGCAAGCAGGGTGTGGAGAAGGTGCTTTTCTCCTTAAAAACTCTGCCTGATTTCCATCATAAGGGCAGATTTGTTTCAAAACTCAGACTCTTTGTGCTTCCCTAACTATGATGTTGTAGTTAAAAGCATTCACATTAAAGCAGTTCACTAGTAATAATTACACTACTTGGGCAACATAATTTAAACTGATCATTGAAATGAATTGGAAGTGACACGTGCTGGCTGACGGCCGACACTTCTGCACTCTGCTCTCACAGCACTTGCTCTTGCATCCCCTGGCACATCCAGCCCTCCACCACAAGCACTTCCCACGCTCCTCCCCATCGCCATGGCCTTACCTCGCTGACATAGATGCCCATGTCCTCCTCATCATCGGTTCTGTAACACACAGTCAGTCCCAGCTTCTCCTGGCTGCTAATGCGGCACAGCTCCACCTCCTACAAGAAAACACACAGGCGATGGTGGCTTTTGCCAAGGGTGGAAAAAATTGTGTAACACAAAGGAGCACCAAGCTACTGACGCACTCACGCCGTAGGACATACTCGTACGTATGACCTCCTCATACTGCCCCATCTCGAGACACAATATTTTTGGTGCATCTTTAAGGGGGAAAATATTCTGTGAATTAAGACGGAAATCCCAGTGCATTGCAGGTTCAAGCTATATAGAAACAGTTCAGTAAGACATGCCAAACTTTGAGAAATACGGTTGTGCATTGATTTTGCAGGTTTTTTGCTTTTGGATAATAGAAGCTGACTTACAGTATATTACATAGTCATTTTAGTCCCATCACACCAACTATTGGTTTATAGGATATAAGACAGACTGGCTACACATCAATCAATCCATCACACAAGTGCCTCTCCCTTCTAACAGCAATCAAGCCATAAAGCAAAACCACAGCCTTCCAGTAATAGCATAATTCCTTCCCTGGCCAGTTTAGTGCCACAGCTTCATTGAGGAAGCTGTTAGATAACAAAAGGATGTTTCAAGGAATCTCCCGTGGAGCTGAACAGCCGTGGCATCCTTCTCAATTGTGAGATGATGCAGAAAACATATTTTTAGTGCCAGATGTCCCAGCAGTGGCATCTCATGAAAAGTGCAAGTTTTAGGGCAGATGGCACAGTGGTAACTACTATGTACACCCATCTGAGTGAAGCATCTTTAGGGTTTCACAGGGGAATCATTCACACAAATGCACAGCTGCACTTGGTTTGAACACTGTGAAACAAATAATTGCCATAAAGCACAATGACTCCAGTAACACAGAGTATTAGCTTTATTGCAAATGGGATATGTGTATTAGCTGGTATGTGTATTTAAAGGGAGTCTACAGGTGACACTTGGAGCTCAACAGCTTCTGCTTCTCGTGGCTGTGCAAAAAAAGACAACAGACAAATCCACGCTTCAGTTCTCAGTCTGCAATACAGAGCTTGTTCCTTCCCATCCCCAGAGACGCCACGCAGATTAATCCATCAGAAGGCACAGGGCGCAGAGCAGCGAGGACCCACTACTGAGTCCGGTCGAGTTGTGGGGACCAGGAGTCAAAATATCCCAAGTGACAAAAAAACCTGCAGTTATCACACATGGGTTAGCCGACAAACCCCATGCCATTTTCATTTCAGCTGAACATCTTCCATGAAGTGCACTGCTATGGCTCGCTCCCCTGCTCCCACATCTACATGGGTTCAGTACCTGCATAAACCCTATAAGCTTCTCCCTGGACTTCGGACATTCAGTCTCTTAATGAAAATGAAGAAAATGTAGAAAATACCATGAAACATGTAGCATTCTTCAGTTTTTCTTAATTACAGCAGGAGTCTTAAATAGGGTGGTAAGAAGTGGAATTAGTCGCCAGTCCACATGTTATACATTGGGTTTGAAACAAGAAACACGAGACCACGTTTTATCAGGGAAAAGAATTGCAGTGACCTGCTTTTGGCATTGGGAGCGAAAGCATGTGTACTGGTGGGAGGCCTATTCAAAACCCGTAATAATTGATGCCTCCAGAGGGAAAGAACACTTGACTAGAACTGTAATATTAGGGGGAAATTACAGTAACAAAACAGCTTCAATTACAGCAACAAGGTATACTTTTAAGGAATAAAGAAGCTTGCGGTCCCTTGGAGGCCTATAAGGAAGCCTAAATACACCATAAAGGACTGAGACTGGGACCTTTAAATCAAGGCAAACGAGGAGCTGTGCACAAGCTGAAATCCATTGACTTCCATCGTCCTGCCGGCACAACCTCCCCTCTCCCCGCGCTGCGGCTGGACAGGGGCCCCAAGGACTGCTCTGAACATAATTTCTTTGGTCGGGAATGACCTTGAAGTTCTTGTGGGTGATTTGTCTTAAAATGTTACTACAAAGCTGTAGGAACGTTTCAGGCTGCAAACAAACGGAATCCTTCCAGTGTGCTGGCTCAATGAGCAGAATAATTTAACCATTTAGGGCATGAAAGAGCAAAGGAAAATGAGGATGGCCCTAGAGGCTCCATCCTGGAAGTCCAAGAGCTTTGCTAAAACTATCTCTAGGATTCAGCCAATGACAAATGCCGGTGACTAACATCCTCTGATGGGGATGCACCAGCCCTTGAACGGCCACAGCTTTCGCTTCTCCACCCAGCAGCAGAGCCGAGGGTCGAGATCTGTACGCGGCTGGTACCCTGGGGACCACCTCTTTCCTAATGACTGTATGGGGCACAGCCTGATGACTGTACTTGGCTGCTGTCAATTAGAAGCTGTAGATACCTACAACTGAGATACCGGTACTTCGTGTTAAAGGTCCAATAAATATTTCATGTTTTTCAGTCTAGATGCAAGTACATACTCAAGCAATATCTCATTCAGCATAAGGGAGAAGTTGGATGAGGTCTCTTGCTTTGCATTGGAAGTCATTCCAGATAACTACCTTTTTCCCACTGCACATCTGCACTGCTAACCTCATGGCAACTTCTTTTTTACAGCAAACATGATACATCCTAGTCACATTCAAACAAATCAGGGTTGACAAAACATCTTTGGAAAATTTAAAACCGCTTTGCATTAAATATTAATCCTCTCTCACAGCAAAAGCCCACAAGTCTGATCTTCAACTCTGTATAACAAGGACTTCTGAAACAACTTCAACAGAAGAGCAGCAACTGAGACACTACAGAACCTGGACCATCATGGTCAAATGCATCTGACATTGCATTTTGCAACAGATGCTTTTTGGTGTTTTTTTCCAACTGGTGTTCAGCAAAAGAAATAGTAAGTTTGGCAGATGTAATGAATTGATAAGAATGTAATTTCCTTCTCTGAAATCCCCTTAAATACATGCACACACGCACGCACACACACGTAGTTGCTTTCATTTTGGGTTCTGTGTGTGCATGTAGGGATTGAACTGACAGTCTTCAAAATTCAGCATTTTAAAAATCTGTGAGAAACAATATTTGGCGATTCATGAAGTGTGCTGACAGACAGATGGTGGAAGGAGAGGGACTGAGGCGACAGCTCAGGAGATGACAGCCTCCCCCTCTTTTGGGCACTCTGGGGGCAGCCGCCTCACGACGCGAAGAGTATGCTGCTGCCAAGTGACAGAAATCAATGCCAAATCGCTAAATTTTTGACTTGTTTCTTTTCTCTGTGTGGGCAGAACAACAATTCAGTGCATTGCCACAGTGAAGACAATACTTGAAAGTGTTTTGCCATAAATTATTTGGTTAGAAGATAGACATGGAAATTAGAATAAGGACTATCCTGTCTTGAAAGACTGGGAAGCAAATTTCTAGGGTAGCTCATTTCTTCAGACATAGAAAAGACAACAAAAAGGTGCAGGTCATGCTCCTGAAGGACTGAAAACCGGTTATACTGGTCATCCTCTAAAGTGATGGAGTGGTGGCTGCTGCCTTGGGCTCCCAGTTAAAGGCCGTCATTCACTTCAATGATGGAAAACCAGTTTACAGGCTGTCAGCCTCAGGAGACATAAGACCAAACAAGGAGCTGTCACCTCTTTGGGGAGGGAAGGCTAGGTTAATACTGTCATTTCTCTCAAGTGGTAGAGAGGTAGATTATAAATGTCACCAACTGGGCTGTTGGCTTTCTAGACTTGCTGAAAAGAGGTTAAGGCCTATTAAAGGAGACCCTGTAAAAGTTTGCATCAGTTCGCAGTTATAGTGGGCCTTTCTAGTAAAAGCTAGGTTACAAAGAGCAAATTTGATGGTCTCTTAGAGAGCAGATCATGAACCCTTCAGTGACCATTTTTAAACAGGCTTTTTTTAGCCTTTTCTTAGCATTACCTAGCATCTACCTTGTCCCATTTAACTCCATCATCTTTAGAGGAAAAGAATGTCAGCTTTTCATCCGGGTTATGTATCAGTATAGTCCAGCCTGTAAACCAAAACACTGTGCTTTCTTCCCTCTCCCCTTCAAACAACTCTCCTGAATGGGACAGGGGTTGAGAAAATACAGAAAGAAGAAGGGAAGTTTTGCTATTTACAAAGACGAAATTGCCAGGGTTTAAATCAGGAACCAACTCAACAGTACACACAGAGGTTTTAGAAAACGAAGTCACCACGGCATACTGGCGAGGGATTCCTACTTCACCAGAAGAAGGTTAAAAAGCTGCCAGTCTGGAAAAGTCCTTGTGTGGCGAAACAAACAATGCAATTCCGATATGCTTTATTGTCACCCTAAAATGTATGAAAGAGCTGTATCTTGGCTCAAGTCTCCCAGGTGGCTGACAGGTTCCATCTACAAAGCCCACAGTAACCTAATGTGTTCTAAGGCAAAAGAATTCCGAGAGAGGCAGTCTGTGGAGGTCCCTCTGGGTTCAGCAATTTTTCTGTACCACAGGATGATTATTAGTGCCGCTCCGACCAAAACCAGATTATGAATTGTTACTAGTTACTATTACTGCAACATCAAGGAAAAAAAAACCACAAAAAACCCTGTTATCTTCATATCCCCCCAGAACAATGCAGTTATTGCCGGTTAGCGAATTCCTACCCATCCCCAAATAAGTGGTCATGTGCATACTCTGAAACAACCCCAGGTGTGAGCTGAAACACCTTTATGTTCTACCCCTTCACAGACCATTATCAGGCA